TAAAATGTAAAATTCAATATTCCCAGATAGCACAAGACGTCCTATGGACGTTCATTTTATATCCATTTTACGTATGTACGTCCATGGACATGAAATGAACGTCCATTGTACATCCGATTTCGGACATCCATCAGTGACTAATATTGGACGTTCACAGGATGTCCATCAAATCTCTTACAGCACGAAATATTGCTAAAATATTGCATAAATATTTTATTTCATTGTATCATAATAAATATTGAAGCACATTGTGCCATATTATAAATTTAATATTTTATTGGAGACATTGCAAAATATACTATGCAATATTATCTTGTAATAGTTCCTTCATTTGCCGCTATGCGACGCAAGATTCGCTGTGTTCATCTCGCTATTAAATTTAGTTAAGAGAATTATAAAGCGCATGCAAAAAGTGGCTATTACAGTTAAATATGTTATAATTATTTTGATCAGTTTAACCTTTTTGATACTATCCCAACACAAAAATTTAGATATTGAATTAATTGAAAAAATTGAACAAATAAAAATTCGGATAAATAAAATGCGAAATAAGAAATATTCTGCAATATTTTATAATTAGTATAAAAATGAATTTTTTGCATGTCAAATTTTATTATTGCTTATAAATTTCTTCTTTATGAATTTTAAATGTCATTTTCAACGATATACATGTTAATAAAGACCAAAATATGTTTATTAAAGATTTAAATTTTTCATAAAAGATCAAAATTCGTCCATTAGATCCATAATTAGTTATATGAGATTCAAAATTCGTCCGTTAGATACTAATTTATCCATTTAAAATCCATAATTGACCAATAATGGACGACTTATGGACGTCCAGACCAGTTGCAAACGGACGTACAATGGACGTCCCTTGTACGTCCGCTGCAGGTAATCTGGACATCCGATGGATGGTACACAATGTCCGACCGGACATCCGTTGTACGTACATAGGATGTACTTGTGCTTATTGGGTTTAATTTGAGCTCACAAAAAGTATTCTATCAAGTCTCATTTCTTTGTGACAAAGATTTAAAAAATGCTAAAAAATTTTTTTTTGACTTTCAATCCAGTTTTTTTTTTCAAAAACGTGACAATAAGCAACATTTTAGATTTCAGATCGTAATCTACGGGAAAAAATCCTATGAAATGATCTGTTATTTCTTTCGTGACAAAAATTGACCAGTGCTATTGGTGTCATTAATCTAATATATTTGAAAAATTCCACATAAGTTCGCAACTTTTCACGCGAAAGGGTTCATCTCTACCGTCCGATGCTTTCAATGTGAAATGAGATCTATATTTGCAAAATTCCACATGCATTCGCAACTTTAAATCTTGCAAATATAAATCTTGTTTTGTACTGAAAACATTAGACAATGAAGATGAATCTCGCTTTGCGTGAAAAAATTACAAGATAAATTAAATATAAATAACTTTTTAACAAAAACAGATTTATTTTTGTTAAAAATTTTTTTAAAACTAAATAATAATTTGGATTACCTTTGTTATATCTGTATAATAATTATATAAATACACTGGTCAAAAAAATTATCGCAACACGCAATTAATATCAAAATTTTGCGTAAATTCAAATAAGCGTATCTCCGCGAAAAATTATCGTATTTGAAAAATTTTTTGTATTACACGTGCAGGCAAAGTGGCACTTTGTGTGCGTGTTTTTTGTGCGGAAAGCGGCCGATTTCCCACGCCGTCATCTAGCGGCGACGCGGCTATTCTCGCACCGTGCCGCCGCAAGATGGCGGCGTGCGATCGGCCACCTTGCGCACAGAAAAAGCGCACAAAGCCACTTTGCCTGCACTTGTAATACAAAATAGTATGTACGAGGTATGTTCAAAAAGTATCGCGAATTTTGAATTTTCGCGGGTTACGTATATTCGATTTTTGATTTTTTTGTGGCGTTATGTTGGTACTCATGTTTCTCATTTATGCCGACAAGTACGGCCATTTTGAATGTTCAGTTAATTTTTGACAGCTGCTTTGCTTGCACGTATTTTGGCTCGTCTTCGATTTTTGCCTATTCCAAAAAATGGATCAAAGAATCTGTATCAAATTTTGTGTGTTGTGAACCCATGATTCGTCACCAGTTATGACCCTTTGGAGCAAATTTGGGTAGTCGCGGACAGAGTCCAACATCTCCTGAGCAATGTTAATGCGATGCTGTTTTTGGTCGAAATTGAGCAATTTTGGTACGAATTTCGCGGCGACCCGTGTCATGCCCAAATCATTGGTAAAAATCGAATGGCACGAGCCAATCGATATGTTTAGGTCCTCAGCAACTTCTCTAACGGTGATTCGACGATTGACCAATACTATTTTCTTCACTTCATCAATGTTTTCGTCTGTTGTTGACGTGCTCGGGCGTCCGGCACGCTCTTCGTCGTTCACATCTTCTCGGCCCTCGGAAAACATTTTGTACCACCGATAAACGTTGCTTCGGTCCAAGGTAGCTTCACCATATGCCACAGTCAACATTCGGAATGCGTCCGCGCACTTAATTTTGTTTTTCACACAAAATTTGATACAGATTCTTTGATCCATTTTTGGAATAGGCAAAAATCAAAGACGAGCCAAAACACGTGCAAGCAAAACAGCTGTCAAAAATTAACTGAACATTCAAAATGGCCGTACTTGTCGGCATAAATGAGAAACATGAGTACCAACATAACGCCACAAAAAAATCAAAAATCGAATATACGTAACCCGCGGAAATTCAAAATTCGCGATACTTTTTGAACACACTTCGTATATCACGTGCGGATTGACAATTGTTCACTCGTGTGGGGTGGTCGCACTCGCCTCCGGCTCGTGCGTTTATCCCCCGCACTCGTGACCAATTGTCAACTTTCCGCACTTGATACAGAATATACTATTTTTTGTTTTAAAGGGTGAACTTTGCCAAAAAAATCGTACGAACTTTGCTTTTTTTTTAATTTGTAGGAAAAAGACCATATTTTACAAAAATTTGGATATTTGCGAAAAAAATTTATTTCACTCCGTAGAGTTCATCAAATTTTGCAATTTTTTGAAAAAAAACATACCTTACTTTTTAAAAGGGTAGAGAAAGAGGGAGAGGATAAAATCAAATTCGAACGAAAGTTTTTTAAAGTAGAGACTACACCATTTAAAACAAAAAATTTTTTGAAATACGATAATTTTTTGCGGAGATACACTTATTTGAATTTATGCGAAATTTTGATATTAATTGCGTGTTGCGATTATTTTTTTGATCAGTGTATATAGTAATTTCTGAATGTTCTACGAATTTGGTATACTATTTTTCATGGTAATCGAGTATCGTGTTGTGTTACGTAAATATATTTTGTAGTTACATAGAATGGATTTTCGAGAAAGCCTTAATCAAAGGGAAACATTATTTTATGCTTTTACATTATTATTTCTTTTACCCATTGTTTGTTATTTATAACATGTATATTACAGAGAATGTTTATTACAAAGAAATGTCAAACATCGAGCAAAAAAGAAGTTGGTGTTTTATGCGATCTTTGTATGGGGTTGTGCCTTTATCATAAGTAGTATCTGTGTCATCAAAGATTCTATTTCCGCAACCAAACTTGCATCAAATAAGATTGTACGACTGACACTTGGAAATTGTGTACGACTGACACTTGGAAATTGCTCGCTCTCTGGTAAATGAACATCTCAGATAATTGATTATGCGACTGCATTTTACAATAGTACTGTAAGAAACAGTATAAAAATTATTTATCAAACATATTATATTTACAGAGAAAGAACCGTTTACATTTTATGGAATCAAAAGTGTTTGTGTCATTGGTAGCATTTGCTTGTCCTTCTCTACAGCACTGAAGATCGCACGCTGTAAAAAGCAAACAAGCTTTCGTCTAACAGATTCAGAAAGCAAGCGGTATAATGACAATAAGGAATGGTCAGTAATCAGATATTTTTACATCAATAATTTATTTTGTTAATGAGATTTATGCCAGTATATTTTTACCATTATGTTTTTCAACAATGTCACTTCATATATTAATCTGTATTTAGTAGAAGGAAAATATGATTATTATTTAGAAGCAGCATTTTTTCGTTGCGCACATTCTTTTTTTTTATACCTTCTAATTACATAATTTATAAAAAAGGAAAAACTAGAGTCCTATATAATGAGAGAAGCAATACCGGACTCCCATCAAAATATGTCAATTTCATTGAACTAGCATTCAACTTCAATGCGGTCTCAATATGGCTGTTTTAATCAGGTAGAAGCATCGCCAATCTGAAATTGCAACGCTGGTGTCGCTTCTTTCTTTATATAAGAATCTAAGAAAAACGTATTGCTATGATAATCAACTTTTTGAGAAAGTGTAATTCTCGAATCTGCAATCAAGTAATGTCGCAAATAGTAAATAGAATTAATGGATGCATTTATTTTATGAAGGAAATCACAGCTTTTATAAAATTCTTTAAACAATTGTTTGTGTTTTCTTTCGATGATTGTAATATATTCCATTATTTAAAAAAAATTTCTTTAAATAAGTTGATGAAAATATTTTATTTTAAGATATTTTAAGATATATTTGATTGTAAGATATTTAAATATCAATATATAATTGTTTGCAGGTTTAATCTGTATCTGAAGCTATTTATTATGTTGTTTATCACGATGAGTATAAATTGGTCCGTGATAGCGATATCATTGTTTGTTGAAAATAAGTCTTCTTGGGCTTACCTAAAATATTCTCTTCATTTGATAGAACTCACGCAGAATGTCTGTATCTTTATCATATTTGTATGCAAAAAGAATATCAAATTGATGTTACTGAAGCGATTCGGATATGAGATGAATGTAACATCAACTACTTGCACTGCAACGTCACAGATGTCTACGCAGGAAAAGGCTAATTCTTCTGAACAAGAAAAATGTCACGCGAAAGATTTGTCCGATGAAACTCACCTTTAATGTTATAATATGTAAAAAAAAAAGTTTTATAGTAGATTAGAAATCAACAATTAACCAGAAATGAATTATAATTTTATGACTTTCAAATCGAAAATACTTTTATACTGTTAAATGCTAATGTTTCCATTTTTTGAAAAGAACAAGTTTAAAATCTTAAACAGAAAATTTGTCTTTCTTGAACTCCGTTATTTTTAGTATTTCTTTAAAGTGTATTTTAAGTCTTTTGTAATATAGTTTACAATCTAACAGATATTTGTAAATTTCTTAAATCTAACGCATTTTATTTTGGTTTTTAATTGCTTGCTTATAATTGAATGTCTCATCGGTCCATATTATTGCATCAAATCAATGATTATAATTCTATAAATACTTTTTTGAGAAATAATTTTGTATGAAAATTATATAGTGTGTTAGGTATTATATTATGTTAAGAAAAGAACATTTTAGGCAAATAAATAACATATAAGAAAAGATTAAAATATTTTCTTTTGAACTGAGAATGACTACAAATTAGTTATGAAAATATTCGAGCACAATTATTTTAAATGTATTCGTATAAATTATATTTAAAAATACTATTTCTTTTTTATACAGCTGTATTTATTATATATATTTGTACTGTTATAGCCCTAAATAGCTATAACTTCTCGTATTACACCTGCCTGGCAACGGCACTGACCGCGTAAAAACGCAGACATCAAGAGACACGGTAGTGTCTCGCGACCAGTTAAGGGCGTAGCGGAGACACCGTGTATCTTAACGCGAGTCGGACATTTGAGTCTTTATAATATTTCGAATCCTCAATAATGGCTGAAGCAATCGAGTTTATACTAGACTTAATCGATAGATTGAGTTCGAATTATATAATAAAAGTGTCTTTATTTCTGCTCTACGTGATTTGTAAGCAGAGATATATAAATGCAAAGTCGAAATATGAAAAATTTCTATTAAGAAACGTCCCCGTCATCATTATATCATCATTATCATCATCGACCACGCATACATAGTAGTATCGTGCTACACGTATTCACACGTATACAACACATGCGCACACATATATCACACGTACACAACACATGCAAGATGCATGTAGTGGTAATTTTGTCCATCTCGCACGTTTTACAAAGATGGCGATAGTGGCGCTCCGCCATATCGGCAGCGTGCGGGGTTATGTTGGCTAACTCTCTCTGTCTCTCTCTCTATCCTCTCTCTATCTCTCTCTCTCTATCTCTCTCGACTCTCTCTCTCTCTCTCTCTATCTCTCTCTCTCTCTCTCTCTCTTTCTCACACACACACGCACACACACACACACTCTCTCATTCTCACTCACTCACTCACTGTTCGTCTTGTGTACTTATTTAGTACATTCATGATCGGCAGCGTGCGGGGTTATGTTGGCTAACTCTCTCTCTCTCTCTCTCTCTCTCTCTCTCTCTCTCTCTCTCTCTCTCTCTCTCTCTCTCTTTCTCACACACACGCACACACACACACACTCTCTCATTCTCACTCACTCACTCACTGTTCGTCTTGTGTACTTATTTAGTACATTCATGATTAAACATCTATATGCATTAATGTGAAATTTACTTACAATTAGTTTACTTGAAATATTCAATCTCTAAAGTGTTTATCTTATAAGATAGACAAAAAAATCTGAGTAAATAATAAGAAAAAAAAACAAGGATTATTATTGTCATAATTTTTTATCAATTAAGTACTCTCAACTATCCAATAATTAAATAAATACGTACAAATGTGCGCGCGTGTACACACATACACATATTGATATTAAAGAGATTGAAGGAGAGGAAGGAGAAGATAAAAATTTAAATATTCACATATATTTTCAAATATTATATATGAATTTATAGTTTACATATCTAATTAATAATGAATTTCTAATTATATTAAACATATCAAAATAAAGACATACATGTATTTATCAAATGAATAAAATTATTGAATACAGACTTAAAAAATTTATTAAACATAGACTTAAAAAATTAATTAATTAAACATATTCCAAATTTAGAAAAAATAAACTTTATTTATATATGCAACAGCTTTTTAAACTAAATTTTTAAATTCTATTTTATATTAGACAATTATCTCAATCAACATCTACGTCCACATTAGCTGCACTGCAGACTACCTCTACAGCCACATTATCTGCTCCGCGGATATAGCGTTATGCCAATACGATACATTACATGTACTTACTTACTTGCCTTTACTGTACCAACTCTTGTTCTTTCCACGTAATCATGTTTTTACAGTTATCGTTTGCTGTATATCTTCCAGCAAACTTTATTTCGTGTGAAGTGTATTTAATTAATTAAATCTCTGCGAAAGATTGAGAAGATGAAGGGATAATTCAAACTATGAAGACATGGTTACATGGAAAAGACAAGAGTTGATACAATAATAAAGACATACATGTATTTGTATCCTGCTGGCATAAGGTTATAGAAGTTGATTGAGATTGAAAAATAATAATGAAAATAATAAAAAAAATAAAGACACATGTATTTGTATCGTGCTGGCATAAAGTTATAAAAGTTGATTGAGATTGAAAAATAATAATAAAAATAATTAAAAAAAGGAAATATTCAATCATCATTTAAAAGCATATTTGAAATCTGTAGAATAAACAGTTTTTGCAAAAAATGTGGAGCATTTGAGCTCTAGTAAGTCTAAAAATAAATGTAAACATCAATTAATAATAACTGATGTTATATATATATTATATATATAAACCAATTTGTTGCAATATTCACTATAAAAGGTTGTAAGGGTAAGATGGCTAAAAGTGAATAATTTAAAAGATAGTTAACATAATTTTACATAAACTGAAATATTTCATAAAATAAAATATTTGTAATATTTCGAAGTTTATGTAAGATTATGTAAAAATTATACCTTTACAACTTTTTATAGTAAATATTGCGAGGAATCGATTTATATGAGAAAAATTAAGGTAATTCTATTTTGAAAATATAAGTGACCTTTAAATAACCTTGAAAATCGCCGTTTAGGAAAAAGTCTGTGTCAACTTTTTCTTTTTCGAAATCCTGCAACTTTTATCTAAATTTAATAGAAAATGTATAAAAAATGCTCGACATTAGTACACACACACACACACATATGGGTAAATTTATATAAATAGGGTGCTTTAGGAGGAATGATCAGGATTCTAGGATATGATTGTACACATCATTTTAAGCAAAGAAGTTTAGATAAACATGTTTAATAATTGTTCTATTCCGGTCATAAAAATATACAAAAATGAATGATATAATCTCTAAAAACTCACCTTTAAAAAAAGGTAAAAAAAGGCGACCAGTTAAGGGCACGCCATTAACAAAAATTATCCATTGCAAACCCATGTAGAATCCTATCCTATTGCAAACCCATGTAGAATCCTATGAAAAATTAATCATTGCAAACCCATGTAGAATCCTAGGCAAAATTAACCATTGCAAACCCATGTAGAATCGTACCCATTGCAAACCTATGTAGAATCCTATGAAAAATTAACCATTGCAAACTCATGTAGAATCCTATGAAAAATTAACCATTGCAAACCCATGTAGAATTGTATTAAAAATTATCCATTGCAAACTTATGTAGAATCCTACATTGCAAACCCATGTACAATAGAATTGTATGAAAAATTATCGATTATAAACCCATGTACAATCGTAACAAAAGTAATGAAATAAAAAAAAATTGCGCCAAGTGAAAGTAGAAACTTGTACCAGTGGAAAATTAAAGTTGCAGACATATATAGAGTCGTATAATGAATCAGTAAAAATTTAAATTTGCAAATGTAGAATCGTACCATAAAAAAACTTATCTTTAAAAAAAAAATAAACAAGATGCCAAGTCCATGCGCCATGTGAAAAAGAAATAAAAAAATTTAGTTAAAAAAACTGGGAGCGCTGCTAAATAATATTCTAACAATATTAAAATTAAATTGTTACTTTTAAACTCATTACAGTTAAAATATGTTTTGTGTTTAAATTAATTAATGTTACTTTAAGGTGCATTGTAATTTTGAAACTTAGCAGCGCGCCCAGTTTTTTTAACTAAAATTTTTTTATTTCTTTTTCACATGGCGCATGGACTTGGCATCTTGTTTATCTTTTTTTTTAAAGATAAGTTTTTTTATGGTACGATTCTACATTTGCAAATTTAAATTTTTACTGATTCATTATACGACTCTATATATGTCTGCAACTTTAATTTTCCACTGGTACAAGTTTCTACTTTCACTTGGCGCAATTTTTTTTTATTTCATTACTTTTGTTACGATTGTACATGGGTTTATAATCGATAATTTTTCATACAATTCTATTGTACATGGGTTTGCAATGTAGGATTCTACATAAGTTTGCAATGGATAATTTTTAATACAATTCTACATGGGTTTGCAATGGTTAATTTTTCATAGGATTCTACATGAGTTTGCAATGGTTAATTTTTCATAGGATTCTACATAGGTTTGCAATGGGTACGATTCTACATGGGTTTGCAATGGTTAATTTTGCCTAGGATTCTACATGGGTTTGCAATGATTAATTTTTCATAGGATTCTACATGGGTTTGCAATAGGATAGGATTCTACATGGGTTTGCAATGGATAATTTTTGTTAATGGCGTGCCCTTAACTGGTCGCCTTTTTTTACCTTTTTTTAAAGGTGAGTTTTTAGAGATTATTAGTCACGCGCGACCCCAAAAAGAGTTGCCTTAGTTGCAAGCGAAGCAAAGACTTTGGACTTCATCGCTTGCACTTAAGGAGTTGACCTAAAGGCCCCTCTGGTCAAAAGGTAACAATATAAAAACGGAAGAAGACGTACCCCGGGCAGTCGCTATCCAGTCATTAATTAAGAGTAACCGCGCGAACCGCGTACGACCTATACCGCCGGAGACGCAGAGTCACACGCGTAGTTTGCGAATCGAATAAAGATATACGTATAGGCGCTATCGAGAAACTAAGTTAGTAACTTACTCTAAGAAGGTGTAATATCGTTAAAATAAAAAGTCAAGACAAGTGTTAAATTGAAATAAACAAGTTTTATTGTGGAGTGATACGTGTTAATATCAAATAATCCCGATCCAAGCCCTGACGCCCCGGATCCTTATCCTAATTTGGCGCAACTCCTTGTGCCCGACA